TAGCTTTATATTTGGTGGTGGAGAGAATGCTCAATGGATAAGATCATGCACTGCTCTTGAAGAGGTCTGTTGGGTAGGCATCTGCCAAAAAGCTAGAACTGAAAAGGGTTGGCTAAAGACATCTACACTGAGAGACGCTGAGCACACTGGGAAAAAGGTGATGAGCCCTCATCACTTTTGAAAATGGAGCACCGAACTGTGAACAAGACAGCTGCAAAAAAGCTTGCGGAAACCATGGACAAGAAACCCTGATGGTGTACCTGTTTCAAATATGGGAAAGAAAAAGCCTATGAAAATTAAGACCTTTATAAATCAGCCCCTCCCAGATACCATAAACTATGCAAAACACAAATAGAAGCAATTATGATAGTTTTGTCAGCCCTAGGACCTCAGGGCTGGTTCACTCACAGGTCTTACAAGGAGGGAGGGAGTAGGGGATAACTCAGTGCAACAAAGTGGAAGCCAGCAGGATTACACTGGAATCAACAAACTGCAGGAGCTCCAGAAATGCAATCAGGTTAGCAGTGGTCACATGGGTTATATAATAATTCTTGAACTATGTAACTAAAATGATGTGGGCAATACAGATCCAATCAAAGTGAAAGGAGGAATCCCGGTGGTTGCTGCCATCTGGTGATTGCACTTGCTTGAGAAATGGGGGCTGAAGCCACCACGTGTGTCTGAAAATTCTTTGAGGATTGTGGAGAGCCTAGAAAAAGTTTCATAAGCCTTGGGCACAAGAGGGGAATCCACAGAAATGGCCTGGTGTCTTCTTTGAATAATTAAAGATTCATCGACTGCAAAGGCAATGGCTACAGTGAACACTGAAAAGACTAAAAAGTTAGAGCAAATTCAGTCTCATCCTCAGAGACTGACAGAGACAAAAATCTGGAGATTATAAATTGCTTAAAATTAGGGGATCAGGAGGCCAACAACCCCCCACCAACACCACCAGAGTTGTGGGCAGATAGTAATGAGAAAAGAATTGTCCTAAAAAATGAAAGTCGTTAATGCTGCCCCTCAGATTCAACCTCTGATGCAAAAATAGAAAAAAGTTACCAGTACCATATTTAGGAGAATATACTCCACACTGGAACTGTTGGGATTAGGAAAGAATTTCAAACAAGCAATTACAGAGTCCCTCACCATGTGGCTCATGAAGGTAAGGGAAATGGGAGCAAATAGTATCAGTTTGTGTCCGATAGAAACATCACAGTTGAGTTATATAACCACCCATCCATCTTTGATATATTGACTGTTTAACCTAGGCCAATACAGGGAGAAGCAGTACCTAATAAAATGGGTTGTGCAAAATATTAAAGTACTAAAGATACGTGGTCATCACCAGTGGAGATTCCTATGAGTCACAGGAACTGGAGGTCCATAGAAGAGGGACAGACATTACTGAGAGAAGTACATATAAGGGAGGCAACATATGATGCCCAGTTTCCTGGGCCAGGTACGACTGTGGATACCAGAGATATAAAGGAAAGCTTAATCCAACAGGGACCTCTAAAATGGTATGGAGGTTTAATCGTTTTGCTAAGTCTCTTAATAGGACAGGATCTTTGTAAAGTGTACAAGGCTTTGGCAGATCTATATGACTCAAACCAGTGTATAAAACATGTCTATAGAATAACAGAACAACCTATAAGAGATATAAAAAAGACAAGACAGAAGAAATAATCCATTTAGTCTACTTGAAGACAAATATGGCAAGATTTATGCCGAGCCCAAGTTCCTAAGAAAAAAACAATTCATTAAAAAAAGAAAGAAAGAAATTCAGTACTTAGGAGTTTCTGGAAGGCTTTAAAACCTGAAGAACAGTTGACAAAAGACATTCAGAGGATAAAAACTGTCCCAGGAGTGGTTAAGGGTCCCCAAAGATTAAGTAAGTTACATTTCTCTTCTGAGAAAGACTATGCTGGGGTGGAAGGAGTTTTTCCCACCAGGGATTCCCCCAAGTAGCCAGGTGCAGTCAATGGATAGGCATCAGATATGGCTACAGCCAGGAGACAGAACCAGGGCCTGACTCAGAGAACCAACAGGTGCAGTAGGGACAGGAGGGACCCTCTGCCTCCTTATCCTGGTGCAGAGTCAGGTAACTTGAGCAAGCACCTGTAAATATATGAAGGAGTGAAAGATACAAAGAGACTCCATGTAAAATCCTCAGAATGCAGAATGACTCCAGAGAAATAACTAAAAATAGTAAAGAACTAACCAAGTTAATTCCTTTTATATATGCTATGGTACCCAACAGAGATTGAGAGAAAGCAAATAATACAAATGACTAAAACCTTTCTATGTTGTGTTAGACCTTGTCTATGATTGATTTAATATATGATGTTAACCTTTGAAAGATATCAAGTACACTCGGAGAAACAAAGGCCAGCTGTAATATTCTTGGGAGCTTTATGGTTGGGCAAGACACAAATAATAGCCACCAGAATGGTTGGAAAAAATTACAACTCCTAATACTTTCTGAAAATAGAACAAAAGCTCCAAAAACTGTACAACTGTTAAGAAAAAAATCACAGTACCAGTACAGTGCATAATCCCCAAGGTGGGTTTGCCCCTTATGAGCTGCTGGCCTGAGAGATCCTAGAGGTCCTCAAATTAGCCAAGGGCATTGCCACTAATGTTGGTTTTACATAAGAAAGGATAAGTAAGGCCATGTTGCCGAAGACACAGCATGATGTGAGTGCAAGAGAAGGTGAGATGAAGTCAAGACTAAGCTGAAAACTGCATGTCACTGGACGGATGCCTTTCATAGTGCCAGATGATGCAATGCAGAAGGTTGGGGGAAAAGGATCCAGTGTAATGGACTCTGTGGTGCTGTACATTGTTGACATGCCAATCGTGTACTACTAACAAATTGGTAATGGGATAGGCCCGCTTCCCTGTGTGGAACACACATCTGGTGCTGAAGACCAGACCAACTCCCTGTGTTGGTCTATAGGTCTGTAGGCTATAAGTCCCAGCAAGGAAGCCACTTCATGTATACTATTTGATGATTATGGCACGCCTGCTGGGATATCTTCTAGGACTTTGTGTTTAAATCTGTTTTTGTTTAGATGTGTATACTTCTTTCCATTTATCTTTATACTAGGGGAGCCACCACGGAGATGGATCAGTGGTCAGTGGTCATGTCTTGAAGATGAATGATGGGGAGGCCCAAGAGGTCAATATCTCAACATGATGCACAAGAGATGGTCCTACATCTGTTAACCCCTCAAAGGGTCAGGTTCCCTTGCATAAGGTTGGCAAAATATTGTGAGAGCAGGAGAAAGTGATAAGGTACTAGGTAGGTATCCTCAGAAAAGCTAGAAATGAACAGGGGCAGGTCTATAGACCAACACTGAAAGACATGGAGTATACTGGGAAAAGGTGAGGAACCTTCACCATCTTTGGAAACAGAGCCGCAAACTGCAGGTGAGGCAGTGTGAAAAAGCTGGTGGAGAATGTGGGCAGGACACGCTGATGACAGGCACATTTAAAATATGGGAAAGCAAAAGCACACGAGAATTCATGCCTTTATAAGTTACCCACACCCCTATGTCATAAACTATGGAACACACAAATAGAAGGTATTCTTTCAGTTTTGACAGCCCTAGGACCTCAGAGGACACTCTTGCAGTATCACGGGGAGGGGGGGCGGATTTTACTGCAACAAGGACCTAGGTTCAGTCATCAGTATCTACATGGCATCTTACAATAACCTATAACTCAAGATCCAGGAAATCTGACACTTCCTTCTGATTTCCATGGTACATGTATAGACTCAAGAACACCCATAAAATAAATATCAAATGTAAATAATAAATAAATAATTGTTTTAAAGCAGGTTATCATTCTATTAGTAAGATAGGCCAAATCCATAAATTTCATTATTTCTTTTTTTCTGAACTTTTTTAGTATTTCTTCAATTGCTGTGATAAAATTCCCTGGCAAGAGAAACTTTAAACAGAAAGAGTTTATTGTTTTCTGGTTCCAGAAAGACACAGTCCATCATGTCAAAAAGACAAGGAAGCAGTGAAGGAATGCACGGCCTGAGCAGGATGCTGGCTGCTCTCATTGTACACATGCTCATGGAGCAGCAGCAACAAATCCATACTTCTCAGCTCCCCATCCCCAGTTATACACTCTGGGTTCATAGGAAGGAACAGTGGCTCTCCCAGTGGGCTAGTCTTTCATCTCAGTGTACAGAGGATAATCCTTCATAGGTATGCAAAAGGTCAATCTACCAGCTGACTCTGGATTCTGTCATTTTGACAACACGAACCATCACAAGTTCCAAATGGATTGAAATGAGTGATGATTCAATCCATAGATGATCATGTATTTGAATGCATTCAATTCCAAATTACTTAAAATTATATGCAGCTTACAATATGTTACATTGCAGAGAGCCTATCAGAAATATGGTTATGTACATCACAATATATTTAATTTATTAAAGTGTCCTTTGTGAAAGCATCAACTCTAAAAACTGA